ATTCCAGTCTTAAGTATTCATTTTCGCTTTCCAAGGAATGTTCAACCAACTTGGCAATAGATGGATTATTAGCAAATAACGACATAGTTGTTTGGGAATTAAAATCGTATTTCTCAAGTTAAAGTGCCAACCCCTTAATATTAATTGTGTTACATTGCACGCAAATCGATCGGGCCTCGACCATACACAGCATGCATGCAAGAGCTCTCCCACATATTCTTCGTTCCTACTCATCTGGTTTGTGATTTGAAAAATTGATTAAGAGTTTATTAAATAAATCAGAATTTCTGTTGGATGCTGGCTTTACGAAATATGGTGCAATAGCCAAGAATGACGGCAGTATGTTTATGTTGAGAAGCGGCCGTGACACTATTGGTATTAATAATATTGTGCTTGTTGGTTCTGTACAAAGGATCATGTTTTCGGTAGCAGTTATACGTCTGCGTGAGTTGTGTCTGATCCACTGTTGATGAAGTATTCGGTTGTCATGCTCGATGAGGCTCATGAACCGACGTTTTGTTTGGGATGGTGAACAGAGCCAGATGAGAGGAATAACGTAAATGTGAAAAAACGGGAAGTGATCGGTATGAGTGCCGCCTTAAGTGCGCAGAACATTTCCAGACGCTAGTTTCGACAAGTTAACTAGTGTTCGTATTGATCCTGAGGAGCTTCTTTTTCTCCCCAATCTATCCATGACAGAACGACAATTTCTTGTAACGTTTTTGATAGGTACAAATACTCGCCGTGAGTGATTTCCGACACTGACGCGTGAGAATTAGTGAGTGATGCAGAATCTCGATTAGGAAGAGAAAAAGTTGCGAAGAGGAATAATTATTGTCGCAGCTGATGCTTGCAGTCGGCTGATGCTTGCATTCCACGTGATCGGTATTATCACGTAATATATAATCATGGGGGTGGTAATCAATAGTGTCATCACGTAATGCTAACGTAGAATACAAATAAGGCCGACTGTATTACTAATGTGTGATGATGACGTGATTTTAAATATTAGGGGCTGTGATACCCGCAATAATTAGGTAATAGAAAAATCACGTGGAATGCAAGCATCAGCCGACTGCAAGCATCAGCTGCGACAATTATTATTGACGTTTATATTTTTGTCCCAATAGAAAGAGTTTGTCAACCGGAATTATTGAATTGCTAAGATGTACGTTTTCCTCGTCATGGCATGCATGGCAGAGAGATATAAAGATTACGGAACGACGTTGATGAATGTGCGTATTATCACAATCATTTGTTTGTCTTATATTTGCCAAATTAACTATGTTCAGATTACACCGTTATCGCTCTGTTGAAGCAAGCGAAAGTGTTTAACTAGCCAGCGGCTCAGGGTATGCGAAAAGTTGCGATCGCTACTAATGTGTAGCAGAAAAGTTTATTTGAACAAACGTTCAAAAGCCCAGTTTGATAGTGGTTTCCGGTAACCTTTGACAAATGTAAAATTGGTTAATTCTTTTGCCCTCGTTAACTAGACAATGGCCTTGCTCTCTCCGTAAACTAACTATGCAAATAGTACAATGCATAATATGATTGTAAATAGTCATGTAATTTTAGTCGTATTGCACATTGCACTGTATATATATTTGTTCTCTCTGCTTATTTTCTTGCGGCAAAAAATGTTACTTTCCCAATCGATGTTTACTGTACTGAAGAAATTTGTTATCAATGTTCTTATGGAAATTTATCACAAACTTTGCTTCTAATATGTTGATAAACACGAGCAATATGGCTTATTTGTAGCAGAAATGTAGTGTTTGCGACTATTTCCAGATAAACGTTTTTGACAAGCTTATTTTACTTTGCGTAATATGTACTACTTTCGACTTATATGAAATAATTATATCAGATGTCAGAAAAGTTAATAGCACTTAGGAATTATTGCACTCTTACCTTATACCTGAAACTCAATTAACATTTCATAACCATTTCTCAGTTTGGACAAATTTCCAGTAGGTAAAAGCATACTCTCCTCGAGCCGTGACAAGGGTTTTACATCATTATAATAGATAGTATTCCACACGTTATCGTCAGAAGTGTCGCTTTCCACTTCGCTAATAAAAATCTCTAATATCACCCATAAACCCCATGCGCTTATCAGGATCAGCATCACACCGCTCGGTAAGTTTCTTGTTGTAGTCCCCCCATAATATCACATAGTAAGTCTCTATTAAACTGCCTATCTCTAAGCACCGTTAAAGTCAACTTCTATTGTAAAGACTATAATGAAGATTTCATGCTTTGCAAAATGAGAACAACGGAAGAGCAAAGTTACGCGATGTGCTATCGATTTGTGAGTGTTAAAGTTAAAGAAATTGCGATAAACAGTTTGAGGCCCATTGGCAATGTCTGGATAAGAACAATCATGAATTTTATGTGTCGTTCTAAAGAGCGAATATTCAATGATTGCGTCCCTAACGCATTGAATCTAAAGAAAGTTATCCCAGGCGCACCCGAAGAACAAACGCTAATCCACTTAAAGGAAAACCCCATATTACATATACAGGCCGCGGCCGCGAACGTAACGGCGACAGTTATTATTTGTTAAGGGCAGCGAAGAACATTGAACTTAAATTCACAAAATGAAGATATACACTCACTGGCTGGAAAAAAGTAGTAGTAGACAAATCCAAATGTTACATAAACTTTTGTTTAGACATAGTTACACACGGTATATCAGTTTCTACAAGGGTAGTTACTCATCTCATGTTTTACATTACGAAACCCCCTGAAATGATCGATGGTAAATAAATCATTTCATCGACAATCATTTCGCCGACATATTCACCAGCATTATTTCGAAATTATCCTTTTTTGGTAGTCGTTGTCGGCGAAATGATTTTCGGTGAAATGATCGTCGGCGAAATATTACGTGGTGAAATGATTTTCGGCGTTATGATTGCCTCCCAATGACAACTCTTATATTGACAACCATCTAATCCTGGGCTTTTATCAAATGATCTCTAATAGAATGACTTTAGCGACAGATTCAAAAGGCATAAATGTACGACGATTTCAACAGTTAGCTGATTTAAATTATTTTTGCCAAACGATTCACGAGAAGATTATACATAACTTCAAGGGAATTTTTCATCACCAAAAATGTGAATTCTAAAACCTCACCGCGTTTTCTGTCTTCATTTCTTGGTCGGGGAACAGTTACAGATAGCCCTGGCTTTTTTTTTTCCAACAGGATCTAGTCATGTCATATTAGTTACGTAATCACTAACGTGGGAACAGAGCAATCCATCATTTACCGCGCTCTCAGCGTTGTCAACGAAGCAAGTTTGGATTCGTCAGGCGATGGATATGCTATGTCAAGGATCAATCAATTACTTGCGGCTCGATAGTTTACCGGTACTTGTCTCTATCGTCTCCCTCGAGTATGATAAAGGAAAGCCATGGCATTTCGTATCATTATGTTATTCAGAAAGCTGTTTAGAATAGATGAGACAAAACAGGACAGACGTAACAGTTTCTAGAGAGCTGGCATATTGATCCAGAGGTTAGATAGGAAGATGATAAAGTCTGAGAAGAGCAGCGTAGAGTTTTAGAAGATCAGTTTTTATTAGATTACTCACTGGTTATAAAGAGAATACGCAAATGATACCCGCACAGGGATTTGGGCAACCAAGGATGTGACGTATCAACATGATTTTTCGACTGTTAGGGCTGGTTCGTATGGGGAGGGGAGAGGGGCTTTGCATGTTTATTTACTTGATTTTGATAATAATACAACATTTCTCAGCATTTTACGAGTCCATATACAACAATGCAATTCTCAACAACCTTGATATTTAAGACCCGGAGGAAACAAGTCTTACATGAGCATCGGAATATGTCCTCAACGTAATATTATTTGGGATGACTGACAGTGGGTAAGCACTTGCTGTTTTGTGCTTGTGCCTTCAAGTTGGGAACGTGCGAAGATGATCGAACCGTTAGTACCGATCGAAAATCGTCTTACTCGCGGCCTTAGCGGCAGTGAAAACGTCGGTTACTTATCGCGAACGATACATTAGCTGGTTAATGTCTTTTTGGATGAACCTACGACAAACGATTGTATTGACCACGCATTCGATGGAAGAGGTGGAAGTTCTTCGTCCATGGGGGTTCGCAGTATGATCCGGAACGTTAAGATATATTTGAGACTGAAGGAGAAGTACGATCGAGGTTTTAAATTGAGCTTCTCGGGTCGAGCGGGAGAGCTATTGGTCTGATAGTATTGCATGCTATGTATGGCTCTGATACGACATGCGATGATAAATACAGATTTTGCTTTGACTTTTGCTGTTTAATTATACTTTTCCAGTTCCATCAAGTCATCGCTTCCGTCGAAGGCTTCTGCCATTTACCACAAACGGAACTTATGAACTCTTGCCAAGCCTGGACTGGTTTCTCGATTATTCAAACGGGTCGCGAGCGACTGGGATTTGAGTAAATACGTAAGTTTCGCACAAGCTTTCCCCGGATGTTGAAGATAATTGTCGTCCATTGTTCGATCCCAGTTAGGTTGGAAGTTTCTTGAAAGTCGCCAGGTCGTGATAATGCGTGGAGGATTTAATTAGACTTTTTCTACAGACTTTTTAGGTTATTTGACTAATATCAATACGTATGTTCAGGAAATAAATCGTGACTGTACTATATATTCTATTCATCTTTCTAACAAATCGATTTGATGGTGAAAATATTATTGAACTTTGAAATCGCGGTGATTTAGAGACTAGAAGTCTTTACAATTTATTTGCCCAGAAATGAAATAAATCTGGTGACGTAATCGTATGATTGCATCAGCGAACAACGTAAGAAAGAAAATATATAACTGTAGAAACCAAATGTACAAAAAAGCATCGTACTACTTATAAAAAACGCTGAAGCACTTGCAGTACATCCACTTTATTATTAAGGAGAGCTAATGTCAGAGTGACTCTTTTTCGTCCTCGGAGAATACAGCACTATTCGATGGATAACATTTCATTTGTTCAGTCATCAAGGTCAATACAATCAAGTAAATCATTAGGATTGTTTCCAAATCTGTTTGGCGAAAACGTCCTGTAAGGACTCTTCAACATGACCATAGACTTGGAGTATTCAAGCATGGATGATTCGAACCTATTGAAAAGCGGGTAATAATTTGCCAGAACCGGTGCGGACATTGATTGCTTCTTACCATTATCAGATGCAAGAGGACTGTGTCAAGATTACGGATGTTGCTGATCCACGAAGACCGTCAAACGTGTGTATAATCATCTAGGCTGAAGCCGTTATTATTGTTGCGATCGATCGATCGATCAGTCGATAATATCTATTCCATACAACTCGCCCATTCATAACAGTATGCCAGGCAACATTATTTCCCACATCCTGCTCTAAGGCCATCATGTTTTAGAAAACTGCTACTCACAGGCGCTGAGTCACTATGGATGAACTATTAGGTACCTTATGGTCACCCGACCACATATCGCCGAAGGAATACGAATTGGGAGGTTTGCCCAACTCTGTTTTCTTCTCGGTGAGCAGTAAGCTCAACAACATGTCTTTCTCTCAATATAAATAGTATAAGTTCTTTTTTCGGCCGGGTCCTTTGGATGAACTTAAACTCATTGGTCATCTTCTATCAGTTCTTCAACCAGCTGGACGTCTATCATCTCAAAACAGCGCCCTATTCTTAAAGGCCAACAACCGCATTTTGATGCGTGACATTTGTGTTGCATGTCGATTTCTAAGAATCCTTCCTTTCTTTCATACGGCTTCTTTCTCTTCACAAATTTTAGCTTTCCATTTGCGACCACACCTTAGCCTGCCGTGAAGTACTCAACTCCTCGACTCGTATGTCTGTTAACCTCTCGCTCTTATTTCCCGTAATACTATCATAACACCTTGTCCGCTTGTAAGCTGTAGTGTTGCTTGTTCCCTCTCTGGTTCATGTAGTTGGTGAATTCGTACATCTGGCCCAGACATGCTGTTAGCATCTCGAAAGGTGACACTGATACTGGCCCTATTCAGTAGTAAAGTCCTAAAGAAAGCCAAAGGAATATGTCGTATTATTCACAATCAGATCTGATCATGCAATACGTCTTTGGTCCCATCGCACTTTTTCCGCTTGAATGTTTACGGGATCCATTCAAAGTTGTACTAGTCGCAGCCTCATCTCGGGTCGTATTGATAGTTGCCGATGGCAAGGGGCCATATGGGATCTTTTGAGGCAGTCCGTGTCGCATTGTCTGTTGGTTTTACGGAATGATGGTTCTCAATGTTGTGAAGCTCGCCTATAGTTAAAACTTACTTGGATGCAAAAAGCATCGTTATAGAATTAGTCCCATAAGCCTACCTTAATTTTTTGGTACAATGTTTATAGATTGTAAGTTGTCTTACTGTTTCGCTTCGACAATAAGGACCCAATGTTCATAAACGCTGAGACAAATACATTAGTCGCCCCTTTAGTATGCACTATTCTCGTGTGATATGTTAGATCGTTCGGTAATAGTCCTCGTGAATAATAACGTTGAAGAATAAGTATGATGCCTATATACAATGGATAGAGTATCTTTATTACTATTGATAACATAAAAAAATTTGTTAGAACCAGTGGTAAACAAATGGACAGTAGTAACACAGTTATTATTGCTATTATTGTTGCAAACTAAAACATTCCTCCTACATAATCCACACGACCTGTATGTAGATTCTCTCAATGAGATTTCCTTTCCGGTAATATTTTGACAAGAGTGATACATGCATAGAACAACAACCGTTCCCATATTGCTTCTGCGTCGTATTTTCTTTTTCATAAATAATGACGGTAGAATATCGATAAGTTGACCAGTTTGGATCCCGTATTTTGCCAGCATCTCCCCTCTTTGCGGTCTTGCTGGATCAGCAAAGACTGGTTGAAGTACAGTCATTCTGTCTAACCAATTCTATCACCATTGTTACCGGACCGCGAGCAAGATTGTAAGGATGAGAAAATAGTGTGTATTTAGTTAACCATAACTAGCGACCTTGATTTTTTTGAATACATCAGAGAGACAGCACATCTTTATCTGACTCCAAAAAAGCGATTAGGTCTCTTGAATGGAAATATGACATTTTATTTGGCGCAAGGAAATTTTTACTACTTCATGAGATAATAAATACTAAATATTACAAATTATTTGAAAATTTACACCCACCCCTACAAAGCAAACTCATCGTACGGTATAACCTAACATGCGCGCGGAATGCATTCTAAGACTAACGATAAGAGGGAGACCAATCCCATGCGTGCAATGTAACACAATTAAGGGTTGGCACCTTAACTTGAGAGATAAGATTTTTTAATTCAACTATTACCATGTCGTTATTTGCTAACAATCCAGCCATTGCCAACTTGGTTGAACACTCCTTGGAAAGCGAAAATGTAAGACTGAAATGGATTCCATTCGAGGAAATCACCAACGTAAAGCCTACTCAAACTGACAACGTCTACTGCGCTATTTGCAAGCATCATGATGATGATGAGTATGACATTATGTTACTGTTACTTGGAAGTAATGAAGAATGCACACCAACACTTGTGAGTGAGTTTGCTAGAATATACTCACTTCCAACACACAAGTACGAGAATAATGACAATAACTTTAGACGATATAAGAAATGGCTTTATCGTCGCAACATACTCATAAAGGGGTTTACCAAGTCTAATGACGATAACTATTACATGGTTGCTTATAAATGCTTTTACCATTATTATTCTCTTTATGGCTTCTGCTCCACATGTGGAATACTCCGATGTAGTCCCGTGTGGTGCATTTGTGGTTATAAACAATTATCCGATGGGTGGACTAGCAACAATCACCAACTCGATGACTTTATTAAGAAATCTCAACTACGAACAAACTCACCAAATGACGCCTATTTAGAATGGATTCCATATGATTGTATTGATGATAAGGGACATTTTGCATACTTGAATGGTCTACCTACTCCTGATTATGTATCTGTTAAATTTATTCCAGTTGAGATAACAGATGAGACACATGATTTATATTATGCCGAGGTAAACTATTTGCTTATGGGTCATGTTTATTGAATAGTTAAATGATTATTGACATCTTATTATTATGTATTATTTCCACTAGTTATGTGATAAGCATCCTGATATCCTTAGCACGGATGTTTGGGTTACCATCGGATTTACATACAAAGCAAGCGAACAAAAGTATTGTCTAATAAAAGACAAGTATGAACATAGGTTATGTCTGGCGTGTACAAAGGAATTAGCAGCTGAGATAAATGCATTCTGTTATGGATGTAAAACGCCAAGACCTCTTGATTGGACGACTGGAAACAAGTCTTTGGATTCATTTATTATGGAGTCGTGGAGTAATATAAAGGACGTTTATGATGCGTATATACAGTGGGTTGAATATTCCATATTAACAAATGTACAAGAGATGACGCCATTATGTCATGGATGTACGCGTATAGCAGAATGGAATAAATTGACCCGTGTAGCACTCAAAAAAATAGTTGACAAACAAGACGATCAGTCGTTTGATTTTCATCAGGTAAATTATTTCACGTGTAAACAATGCAATCGATAATTACGGCATCGTTATAACGTGTATTCTGTTTGCTCAAATAGTTAACTAAGGAATACCCGACGATATTAACACCTGATAATATTTGGATAATTGGAATCACTCAGGAGCCATC